TCAAACTTGAATTCTACTAATAATATTCTCCTCTATTTCACCATCACTCTCAACAATAGACCCAATATATCTAAAATTAGTATACTTATTAATTACTTGATCGCTCAAAGTCACAAACCCCTCACTAGATCTATTACTACTAGAATTACACTCCATGTATTCGTTTTAGATTTACTCAAATAAAAACCTCTAGACTCTAAGGTTGACCTCCATAATTCGAGTTTAGCTTCAACTCCCTCTCTAGTCTAATCAACGAGAAGAATACCAACAACAAAAATCATACACTAGGGTACATCCTCTTGCAAATATCTAGTAAGAACATCCATAACTAAAGCAAAAAAGATAAGGGCTTAAGGTTGATCCTTGATGTAATCCAACTAAAATAGGAAAATATTTGGTCAAGCCACCTTGTCTTTGAACACAAGTAACAGCTCCTGCATACATATCCCTAATGACTTGAATAAAAGAATTATTAACCCTTCTTTTCTAGAACTCTCCATATCACTTCTCTTAGAACGTTGTCATATGCTAGAGATTTCTCTCTCTAGAAAGAGAAGAGAAAATTCATAATTTCTCCCTTCAAATACCTCCCTCTCCACCTCAAACAACTCATCTCACCCTCATTCCCTTTTTTTTCTCTCTACCTAGAGAAAAAAAATTGCATCCTCTTTCTCTCTCGAAAATTGGAGAGAGAGTCTCTCTCTCTAGCACCACACTTACCACCACCATATTACTACATCATTTTCTCAAAAAAAAAAAAAAAACTAGCCTATCCCTCTCTTTCCACTCTCTTTCACACTAAAAAAGAGAAATCTCTCACATTATCTCTTTCTCTCTCTAGCCTTAATCCAATAAATATTTTTTAATAAAAAAAACTTAATTAAAATTAATTAAATTAAAGTTCTTCGTGCGTCGTAAGTATCATCATAATCGTCGTCTTCGCCGCCGTGCAATTTGAGGTATAACCCTAATACTAGTTATTTTATGCGTAACAATACATGAGAATAAGTACCCGTGACCTTTTTTTTTTTTGCGGCAGGAAAATTTGTTATGCATGAAAATAAGTACACATGTCCGCCTTTCTTAGAAGGCGGGAAAATTTGTTTTCATGAAAATTAGTAACCATAATCATCTTTCTTAGCAAGCGGAAAAATTTGTTTGTATGAAAATAAGTACCCGTGACCGTCTTTCTTGGCAAGCAGAAAAATTTGTTTGCATAAAATTGCCCATGATCGTCTTTCTTGGCAGGCAGGAAAATTTGTTATATATGAAAAATTAAGTACCCATGACCGTCTTTCTTCATAGGAGGAGAACTGCCATGCTTTATAAATAGATACTTGAAAACACATGACAGCCTTTCTTGGTAGGCAGAAATTAAAAATTTCGGTCATTGTGTCACTTGATACACTTGATACCTGCCGTAACTATCTTTTCTTGGCAGGCAGGAAGTCCTAGCACACCCTGATGCAGTCGCTACATGAGGACAATGTCGGGTTGCTGCCAAAATTTAATATATATAATAAATGAATTAGAAAAATTTTGAAATCTAACCTTACTCATAAGTCAACAAAATAAAAAATACACAACATCCTAAGTTCCAAACATTGAAAAGCAAAAATAAACGAAAATCAAAATGTAATAGAATAGAATTTACAGTGAACTTGTTGCAGAATTGATTACTCGCCAACAAGCACAAACTAAAACTTTCACCCTTAGCTCCTAATTCGCTCGTGCACACACAAGTCCCACAGAAACACACGCTCTAAATTTGAAATGTGTAAAGAAATGAACTAGGGTAGGGATTCATATTTATAACTCAGAAAATGAATCCCCTTGTGGTACCTACTGAACCAAACTCCAAGCATAAAATGACAAGGGAGAGGACACAAGTGCACAGGTGCCATTGTAGCGTATATGTCAGTTGTTAAAGTCAGGAGACTCGTATGTGCCCCAAGAATATATTGTGCACCCCGTGAATATTTTTCTTTGAAAAGAAACAAAATAGCAAACTATTATGTATCACAAGTTGTACGAACCTTCATTAAAGTGCGTGTAACGCGCCAAATCACTGAAAGGTGTCACCTACGAGCCCCCTATTGTATAATGTGTGCATATCAAAGTCATACAAACACGTTATATAAATGGATGAAGTGGCTTGTATCTGTACCTATAATCATATGAGTGCACCGCACAAGCATGTATATCAACATATGAATATACTACTGATCATCCAAAAAAATTGCATGTGCATATCAATAATCATGCAAATGTGCAGGTGTGTTACACAAAATGCATATAAAAGTAAACTGCAAGCATTTGAATACACATGCAAGTATTCAGGCTTGCAAGCATAAAACATGCATGTATATTATGCATACATGTCGGGCAACATGTCAATGCATCATGCATACACCAAATAACAAATGTATCATGCATGTACCAAATACAACATGCAAACACATCATGCATGCATCACCCAACATGCAAATACAATAAGTAGCGAGCAAATGCATATGTTAGCATATAAGTATACATGCAAACATATAAATGCATATACAAGTATGCCAACATGCAAACGAATACGTGAATGTGTATGAGAATATGCAGATATGTCATAAACATCCACTGTATCACATGCATATACACCATATAAATGCATTATGTAAAAATGAGCTAAAAAATCACTTATCGTACGGGCCCTAAAAGCATGACATATGCATACACATGAAGTTTGAGAATGCACTTGCAATGCGGATCAAAAATAACAAATAAATTTTAAATATATCGCTCTAAAAGCGTGCAAATATACATTATGCAAGTACACTGAAAGGCATGCATATTATTAAAAAAAAAAGAAATTTAAATCACCCGCATATGCTCCGACAAGTGAGTTACACTCTCAAAACCCTTGCCAAAGAATGTTATGCAGGTCAAAAGTGAACCTAAGTTCAAGTTCAATCCCCCTCCTTAAATGGACCGAAGTTGACATCACTTAAACCAATGAACAAATACACGATCATAGCATTAACCGAAGTATTTAATTTTATACGTTCACATTAGGACTTCAAAACCTCTTATGAGAAAGGTTCACTTATTAAAAACATAAACTCTCGAAGCTGGAACTCATTAAATTTGTTAGAATATTTGAATTTTATACATTCACATTAGGCCTTCAAAGTATGTTATGAAGAAAATGCATATATTAAAATACATAGTCTCGGTTCCGATATTTATACAATAACTCCAAAAATTAGAAGTTGAACCCAATTCTCTGTTGGCAAGCAAGCAGAATTGACAATATTCGACAAATAAAATGAAAAATACCCATAAATCCACGATGATGGTCGTGTTAAAAGCTAATCTCAACTAGAGGGGATTATACTTTTTAAATGCTTTTAAAATTCTAATAAATACAAGTATTTGAAATAAGTTTAACGTCACCCCGATGATGGCCGTATTGAAACTTAATATCAACCGGATGGATTTTTATCATTTAAATGCCCCTAAATCTCAAAACTAATCATAAAGGAGCTCTGATTTTAATAAAAGTTCAAAACTCAAAAATCACTAAAATTTAAAATATTTAAGATGAAATAAATCACTTGAAACAAATATTCATCCACCCTCCACAATAATTTGTTCAGGTGAATAAATTTAGAAATCACTTCAGCTAAAAAAAAGTGAATATACAATCAAGAATATAACTATGATTCATTCTCAAACCATCTTCTACCAGTAAGGACGGGGAGTGTGTCCTCTAATCGGTGGATTAGCAGTCAAATGGCACCACAGGTAAACGATTTTGATCGGGGCCCTCTAACTGCGTGGTTTTACAGACAAATGATACCACTAAATTATGATCACAGTCAGAGCCCAAATGTTCCTCAATGGCTCTAAATCCTTGAGTAATAAAGCACTAGGGTAGAATCGATAGCGCACAAAACCCTTTGTTAGTTAAAATGGACTCAAAAATGCCCTCTTAGCCTAACATTCACCCCAAGTCTACAAGGTACCTTTGTATGAAGCAACCCATGATTGACGATAAGGATCATTTGGTCAGATTGGGTAGACAACCTCCTTTGATTAAGTAGACTACGAACCCTGATTGCCTGGGACAACGAAACCATAGGATCTTGATCGGGTTCATCATCATTCCCCCCATCATCCACTTTAAGTACGCGGTGATAAATTTTCAATTTTCAATATCTAATTTTGTTGTTCATTTATGATGGGTACTTAATGCATATCCAATGACTAGCCTTAATCGAAAGTGCTCTCTCATTATCGAGAGAAGTAATTAACTATAGGGGCTTGCGCTTATGAAAAACCAAACCTCAGATCATTAAGTTTTCGCAAAATGAGAGCGAAATCTCTGGGTAGTTTCTTATCTAAAATTAATTTATCTTCTAAAAATTTATCCCGAAACTTAAACTCGTTAAAATTAGTTGGGCATTTATCTATAAAGCCTCGATTGCACATTCTCCATCAGTTTAAACTTTTGAAGTAGGTTGGGCCAAGTAGTTTTTATGAGTAAAAACACTTGCATTCAAGCAAGGTTTCTATTTTTATGCCTTCTTGCAACCAATCTCATTGATTTAATATCTGTTATTAGAAACTAAGCCATGCATGGAAAGTTTTCACATGAATGACTGCAAAGGCAGAACAAAATATACAAACATAGCTAGGTTTGTTGCCTCTCCAAGATGAAGGGAGATCAACCACATGTTAATGCTTTCAGTAAGCCAAAACAAAATCCTAACCAATCAGTTATTGTGCTTAGTTTGGTTAACAGAAGAAATTGGATAATTGGGTTAGGTTTGACCAATTATACAATCTAAATGCACATAGCCTACCTGATAACATTAATCATCAACAACAATATGGTGTGCCCTTCTACAGCTAACAATGTAATCCTAAATGAAGGGACGTTCTTTCATTAGATTTGAATGGAAACTTATAATATAGCAAAAAGAATGCATATATAACTGGAACCTGTTTACCTCGGGATGTTGTGCATGGAAACTTGAATAACCAATATCATGATTTCCACATAGATAATAAACCAAGATATCTGAATATCTTCCATGTTCCTCCAAACCAAAAATATGCTTAAAACGGCTAAATGATTCCATCCACCTGGTCAAGTAAATAACATCGAAGTATTGTGTGAAAAAACAAATTAAGTTGATCGATGGATTTTAGATATGCATGTGCATGTACACGTTTAAGAATGTATTCACTTGCAGTATTCTTCTATATTGCATGTCTAACAATTTTGCAAGTCTTTTCATATCATTTACCTGTATAATACCATATCTCACAATCTCCATGCTTCACAGACTATGATTGAAGAAAACTCTTATGATGCGAAATCTAAATATTGGATGCATTCACAATCTCAACTGCTTCAATATTTAATGATCCAATTGCATTTAAAGGTTGACAAGAAAAACAGAACGCTGAGTTACAAACATTAGACTGACATTTCTTAGTGAGATGGAATTAAGGGTCACAAAATTGTAGACCAAACGCCATAATCTTTGTACAAGAGTATGGCGTTATCTAACAGCCCTATTAGCCTCGTGATAAGTACATTGTTTATTTGGAATGTTAAGATCCACATGCTTGCGTTTTATCAAGAAATTCTTCGTTCTTTCTTTCTATGGTATGTCTTCATTTTTTTTTCTCTCTCTTTCTTTTTTTCCTTTTTTGCCATTATGTGACCACAAACAAGTAGATTCAAATTTCTTGGGTGCAAGAATGCACAGATTAGGGCAACAAAGGCATAAAAAGATCATATGAATCACCGAAAGAGGATGAAACTCTCATAAGAAGGAAGCATCATTCATATGAACAATGTACATAGGGATGGAACCATGCTTCCTGTTCCCTAATAAGACATGAAAGCTAAAGATTGTTTAATGATGCATAACGCCACCACAACAAAAATAAGTTTGAGTAACCAATTAGTGATAGATAGACCCGTTGATGGATATCGACATGTTCATTCTGGTCAAAAGCATCAGCTCGATTCTTAATAATTAAAATGGGAGAATGTATGACTAATTTTATTCTTTTATTATGTGTTAATAGCTAAATAAAAAGCTATACATAAATAGGTGGAGAAATAAGTGTCAAGGAAAGGAGTAAATCTAGAAATTAATCTTTGTTTCTTGAATGCATAATTAACTACATGGCCAAAAGAATGTTTCATCCACGAATTGTTGGATTGTTACAAATGGAAAGCTACTATCAACTAATTGTTGTAGATAGAAAGATGTTGTGCATTGATAGTCAGGATTTTGTAGATGGAAACGTAATAGCCATGGATTTTGGTTTTATTTCAACACTCTCCCTCAAGCTAGGTGGTATATGTTGATCATGCCTAAGCTTTTTGATTGGTTAATTAAAACTCACATTGATTAAAGCTTTAAGAAAATATGCAATTTTAGTGTTTTTTGGGAGACATGATTTAGTTGAGCTAGTCCATTTTCAATTTTTTTCATAGAAGAAATGTCAGTTTATCTCAAAATGATTAGTCATGTCATAATGGATAACATTTTTTATAATACTCATCGCAAACTAGTTGTCCCACTACACTTATAGAGAATTCTTTCACTTGATAAGTTAATTCTTTAAATAATATTTTTAATTACATTCATTTGCAAATATCAAGCGTCACTGCCCTATATTCAACTTCAACATTGCTTCATGAGACCAAAAATTATTTCTCAATTCTCCATGTAATCCGATTTCCCCATACATGAGAATGATAACCAGAGATACATCCTCGATCAAATGCATCTCAAGCCCAATCAATAATTCAATATCTATAAAAATATTTATTTCCTTATTTGATTACTATTTATATAATGGGATTTTTTCTGGTTTCATTTTGAGATGCCTAAGAGTACGGTTAATAGCTTTCATGTGATCTTCAATAGGATTCTTCATGAATTGCTTTACAACACTAACAGAGAACCCAATATTAGGATCAGTGAGAGAGAGGTAGATGAGTTTGCCCACAAGGCATTGATACCTACATTTATCAATGAGCGTATTATTAATGGTGATATCATCTTTTTTAGTCCATTAGAATTTTCACAAGCTTACATTCAAGCATTCTCATTTTTTGAAATAGCTCAAAAATATATTTCCATTGATAAATAGCAATACATCATTTTAATCATATCATTTCCTTATCAAGGAAATATTTTAGATGTCACAAGTCTTTTACTTCATTCTCATGCAAAAAATTCTTTTTGTCTGACTAGCTCAATATCAAAGCCACTAAATAATATAAAATTGTTAGCAAATACTATAAGAATTGTCTTTTCTCCTTTAGGTGAGTGCATGAAAAAAAAAACAATGCGATCAATTTGACACTGAGTGTACCCACACTTTTCAATATATTTAGAAAATCTTATAAATCAAGTATCAGAAGATTGTTTGAGTCTGCATACCTTATTGAGCCTACATACCTTATTTAGAACTTTATTGAGTCTACATACCTTATTGATGTTTCTCTGATTTTTCAATGTATATGGGATCTCTATGTATACTTACTCCTAAGGTCCCCGTTAAGAAAGCATTCTTAATAGCAAGGCTGATGCAAATGTCACTCCAAATTTGTCACAAGAGAGAGCAAAACTCTAATTGTGTTGAGTTTAGCAACTGAAGAGAAAGTTTCTTGATAATTAATATCACGTGATTGAGTACATCCTTTTCCAATAAATTGGATATTAAATATATCCACGCTCCCATCTACCCATCTTCTTTATGTTCAACTATAAATAATCATCTGCATCCATCTGGTTATTTACCTGGTGGAAGTTCATAAACTTCCCGCATGCCATTCTTTTTTAAAGCCTATTTTTCTTTCATTTCAGCTCTTCTACTTGGAGGGTTTCATGAATATTATTTACAATCATATTTTATCAAAAGGAGTAACAAAAGCACAAAATCTAAGTAAATTCCCTTTATAAGTAATGAAATCATATATTACGTATTTGGAGCATGACCTTATTACCCCTTCCCTTTAAGGCAATAGGATAGTGGAGAACTGGAGATCAGCATCATCATCTCTATATTTATTCTCACCAATTTTTACCTCACTAGTCATTAAATTAAGTTTGGGTTTTTGGGTGTGCCAGAGATATATTGATTACTCAATTTCTTGATTTTTCTTTTCTCATCTAGTGTAGACACAAAGCTCATTCTCCAAAGATTGGGTGTATTAATATAGTGATGAGGGCATTTATGATTTTGGTAAGGCTTCAGTAGGTTGAATGAGGGATAATGAGAAATGCTCATTGTCCATAGATTTGATGAGAGATGATGGAGGATGACCAAAAAGTTCTAAACTTAAAATTCTCATTCCTGAATTTTCTCCACTTAAATTTTGAGTTTTGTGGGCTCCGAAAATTTGGCCCCGGCTAGAGGACACGTATCACGCCCTTACTGGCAAGAGATTGTTTGAGAATGGATCCTAGTGATATTTTCGACTAGGCATTTGGCTTTTTATGAGCTAGATTTTATTCGAATTTGTCCACCCCGACAAACTGTTGCGGAGGGTGGATGGATTTTGCTTTAAGCATTGGGATAGATAATTTCAATTTTAAATATTTTTGGGATTTTTTGGGATTTTGAGAATTTGGATTTTGTGGAGTTTTGGATTTTGGTATTTTTGGATTTTTGTGGAGTTTTGGATTTTGATATGATATTTAAAATATTTGGGAACCCCTCCGGTTGAGATATGCATTCAACACGGCCATCATCGAGGTGTTTGGGGTCATTTCCATTTAAGGCTTGAACCTGTCGACTCTGTCTAGCTGTCGACAGAATCGGGTTTTATATGCTTTATGCCCTTGATAGTGAATTCTTATTGTTATAGGCCTTGAAGGCCTAATATGAATGTATTAAGACAAATATGACAGTCGCCACAACCGTATATTTGTTTGTTGGTTCGAACCCTGTCGACTTCTATTGACCCGTATAGAAGGATCGGTTTCGAACCTGAATTCACTTGTCAACCCGAGCAGCATCACTAGACGTCACGTGTGTACCAATAACACGCTCGCCGGGGCCCATGCGGGTGTTTGGGGGCATTTTATAATTGAACCCTGTCCACTCCTTTTATCTTCTTAGGAGGATCGTGTTCAAATTTGATAACCCGCGCAGCATCCCTAGACATCACGTGTGTACCAATAACACGCTCGCCGGGGCCCATGCGGGTTTGGATTATATTTTCCCCCTTAGTGTACCTATGTGTATACAAATTACAATGCACGTGCGGGGGTACTTTGAAATAATTATAGACGTCTTCTGTCTGCTTGTACAAGAGTTGCAGATCCGGTGGCGTGGCGTAGCAGCTTCTAAATGGAGTTGTTCGCTACTTCGTACAGGTAGACTGTCGTGCACTACTCGCCTTTTGCTGATAGATTGTAGTGCACTAACAAGTCTCCTGCCTTAGATCGTAGGAGATTGCACTTGTCATATTCTTCATATATTTTATGGTAGTCTTTGATCTTTTCAGTACATCCGCCACTGCTATAGGTAGGCAGGTAGATGTATTCCATAGATTGAAAGTGACTTCAGGATACTGCACTTACTGAAGTCTTTCTGCATCTACCCATCAGTGGCATGTGGCAAATACATCTGTCTTCGTAGAGAGATCGTATGTGTTGCAGATCTTTGATAGTCATTCATGGATAATTTGTATTTTCTTGTACCATTTGCATTCCTTCATGCCTATCTCATAGTACCTTTCTCTTTCATGGTTTCTGCAAGTGGAGATAGTACCTTTCTCTTTCATTGTGTTGTACTCATGAAGAGATTTTGTAGTAGCTTGTAGGACAGTAATGTGCTTGTTCGCGTTGACTATGGGGATGTCACAATGTTCTTATTACCATCAACTTGCAGATGTCCATCATCGATCTTTGCTTGATTGCATGAGATTTGCATGAATCAAACCTTTTTTTATGGCATTTGGTTGCATGATTCTTCATCATAATTTGTTAATAAATAATGCTTGTAGGCTCTACATTCATTGCAGGTCTTGTATATGCTTTATTGCATTTCATTTGGACATATTAACTTACCAATATCATATCATGTGTCACATATTTTCCACATTC